AGCATGACCTGCACTTTCGTCATACTGAAATTTCACTTTATATCTAGATCATGCTGTTTCTGAAGCAGCTTCCTAGTTTGTAAATAGATTTACTCGATATATTTTTATTTTGGAAAAAAATATTTGCAGAAATGTAAGTAAAGCCAATCTGCAAAACTGTATAGCTTTGACAATTGCATATTGTAAATATTGTGTAAATATTGTTGAAATAGAGGTTAAATCAACCTAATGTTCTTACACTGTGTTTTTGACTTCTTTTGATCCCTAATTCTGAGGCTTATTTATCTGGAATAGTTTCTACTTTTGGGGGGAAATATGTCTTTTCTTACAAATTGCCTTCAGTAACTGTCCAACAAAACATTTAAAGACATAGCCACTAAGTACAAAAGTGATAACCACCTCAAATGGTAGTAAAGCAACCAGAAAATAATTTGGGTTTTTCTACAGTGAATACTTGACCACCTTGTCTTATAATTGCAGTAAAGATTATATTCCTGAAATTTTATACTTCTGGTCGTTCTGGTCTCTGTTTTAAAGAGAGTTTTGTAAACCATTTGAGTATTCTGATCTTTTGTTTATAATTTTCAAGATCTTTTACAGAACTTTAAGTGTTTAAACTATTGAGCCATAAAAAGTTTAGTTATATAGTAGTTGAGATTTCTTGGGATGTATATACTTTTCCCTTAAGTACTGGGAATTTAAAGAATTGCACTAATTCATAGAACTCCTTACATAGTAGTGACCAATGCATATTTAATTTAAATCTTGTATTCTGTATTAAAGCTTATGGGAGAGTTATCTTCTGGCGTCCTTTTAGAAAGCCATGTCCATCATAAGATGTAAGAAGAAAAATCACAGTTTTATGTTTTAATGTAGTTTTTCCTGAAATGGTCTATGTTAAATAACTATAATTGTACTTAGATGAAGTACATTGTCTCTGTGTCCCTTAAAATGTTTTCAAGAGTTAAGAAAGGAGAATGAAAGAGGTGCCTTCGCTGTATTAGACTCACACACGTCAGTCAAGTCGATGAATTGGTTTAAACCTTTAAATGAGAACAAATTATAATTAGTACCTGACCAATTGTGCCTAGATATTAAAGTATGTTCTCTTAAGTGCTTTCTGTTTGGTTAAATATCAGATATATTAAGGTTTTTTTCTACCAATGTGCTGGTAAAAGAGTTATTTTCCTCAACCATTTTTTGTACTGGGCTTTTAAAAAATGAAATCCATCCTACTCTAACACAACATTTCTCAGTGTAGAAATCACTTCATAATTGCTAAACCTTACAGCAGAAATTTGTGTTGGAAGACATTTTTATGATATGGAGTGGTCTAATCTTAAGGACTAAATATCATACAGTTAAAGTTTATTTAACTCAACATGGTACTGTAATACAGTTAGGTTTGAATAAATATTTTCATTAACTTAAAGTTTGAATTCATTTATATTGGCAGTCATTCTTGTTTAGATACTTTGATTAAATTCCTTTGCAAGTCAGTTCTTGCTTTTTCAGAAGTTCACGTAATGCTGAAAATTACAGATTTCCTTTTTATTTAGTTAATCTGTATGCAAAGTACTAAAATTCATCTACAAATAAGTTCACTTTCTTCGAGATTCTTAGTTCACTAGCCAGCAGCCACTGATAGAGTCCAAATACAACTTGTACTTGGAGCTTTCATTTATGTTCAAGACCAAAACCATAATCCACATTTTACCTTAAAAGTCCAAGTGTGCTGGACTTAATTGTAGTATTGTACCTGGTAACCTATTTTAACAGTCAGATGCCCAGTGACAGCATTTCAAGGTCAAAGTATACCACAAACAACTTGTGGCCACTTTTACAACAAAAGAGATTATTCACTCTTTATTTTGGACATTACTTAGTGGTTAATATGTCAGTGTATGCCAAGTCTTTGAAGTCTTATAATTAAGTTGATTATTTTAGCCCTAGATATTGTTAGAACCCTTTAGTTCTAACTAAATGTTGAGAAAAGCATTCATTAATATTCAGCAAAGGCTTGATGATCAGGTTTGTCCAAGGCTTGACTATTAGAGAGACCAAGATTTAAGCTTCAATAGGAGTACTTTCAAAGGCATGTTACTATATATTCTGTGTTCATCCATTTCTCAAGCCACCATCTTTCAGCCTCAGGCCCAACTTCTTGAAATTATCATCAAGTTTTGAATTTATTACTATACTTCCTCTTTTAATAGACTTTAATAATAGTTGGTTGATATTTTGACATACTTAGTCCTTTTTTCCTAAATTATTTTTTCAACATAGTTGAATTTAAACTATACATATGATGCTTTTAGTTCAGATAATATCAAGCATTTTCCAGTTTTTAGCTATATTTTTTAAAATAGTGAACATATCTATAAATATGTTATCAATTATTTCCTTAGGAGACATTTTAGAGAGTAGAATTACCAAATCAAAAAATTAGTGTGCATTTTTTAAGGATCTCAATACATTTTGCCAAATTCTTCCAGAAAATTAATTTACATTCTTGCCAGCAAATTGTCATTTTTTCTATACCATATGCTTATCTTTTACCAGATATATATTCAGCTATATTATCACTGGTTTATAGGCTTTTATTTCTTGATTTGTTAAATTAGTAGTAAGCTAATCCACATATAATTTGTTTTGGTACCTGGTTTGAAGTAAGAAAGTACATTTTGTTCCCTAAATATTTAACTACTTGACTCAGTATAATTAGTTAAAATAAGGTATCTCTCCCACATACATTTACTTATAATGTCTCTTGTTCTATATTGATGCACTATGTTTTATTCACAATTCTAGAATCCAAAAGGTCTAACAACCAATATTTCCCCCTAAGTTTAGCATCAAAACTCATTTCATGGCAAAACCTGACCTGATTTGACATGAAGCTGGATCCTCATTTGGTATGAATGTTCATATTTTGCTGGAAAATAGTTATGTGCTTAGTGTGCTGTTTCAGATTCAGCTGAGAGTATATGATATATACATTGTGTTACTTTTTAAAATCCTAAGTATTCTGAATTATGAAACCCAGTTAACCATAAAGGTGTAAAATCAAAGATTTTGGACCTATATTAATTTTTATACACATATGCATACACTATATATACTATGGTGCATAGATTATTTTGTGCCACTGATTTAATTATAGCTTTGTGTCCATTGTAGCTTATTTTTTAAGTGCTCACTCCTTTTATGCTCCCTGATTAACTTCAGAATTGATTTGTATTATTTCAAGTTAAAATTCTATTGGAATATTCATTTGAACTACATTAACCTTTTAAGTTACCTGATACTGAAAGAAGGAAATGGTAATGGTAATATGGTATGTATAATAGTTTTGTAGTTATTCTTATCTTCATAAATTTCTTGCTAAACTATTTTGTCATTTGTTGCTATATTTAGGGAATTCTTCATTCCATTGTTTTAACTATTGCTTTTTTAGTTAATGTAAAATTTTTATGGCAGCATAATCTAGAAAAAGTGCACAAACTATTAAGTTCATACAATTCAATGAATTTTCTAAAAGTATACTCATTCACTTAATTTCCCAGATCAAGAATAGAACATTGCCAGAACCCTAGAATCCCCTGGTACTTCATTCACTCTGGTAACTGTTAGCCTCAAGGACAATTATTATTCTGACTTGTAGTACCATAGTTTCACCTTGTTTTTTTAACCATGTATAATGGATTCGTGTAGTATATAGTCTTTCATAACTTATTTTGCTCAACATTGCAAGATCCACCCATGTTGTATATAATTCAGTTCTCATCCTCAATACTGTGTATTTTTTTCATTGTGTTTATCCACATTGTATTACACCACAGTTAATCCCTTTTATAGTTGAACATTTAAATTAATTCCAGTTTGAAGCTATTTTGAATAGAACCTCTGAATATTCTTGTACATGCTTTTGGTGAATGTATTACACTTTTCAGTTGGACGTGTGCTTAGGAGTGGAGTTGTTGGGTCCTAGGGTTGTATATATCCAACCTTATTCATATTTTTCAGTTTTTCAGAGCAGCTATACCAAATCATACTATCAACAGTATAAGGAGAGTTCCAGGTTCTACATCGTTAGTCCTTGGTATTTTTATTTTAGCCATTTTGGTGAAGTATGTTGGTAACACATTATGGTTTTAATTGTTCCTGATAAAGTTGAATACCATTTCAAATGCATATTGGCCATTTCGATAATCTTTTGTGGAATTTCTGCCCATTTTTATATTGGGTTGTCTACCTTTTATTACAGATATATAATAAATAGATACAAATCCTTTTCAAATGGATACCAGATGTCTAACTATTTTACTCAGTTTTGTTTAACCTTCTGTATTTTCATTGATCATCCATCTTCAACTGATTTTCCATAGGGATATATAATTAACCCAGCACCATTTATTGAGGAAAGACTATCCTTTCCCAAATATATTGCGCTGTTACCATTGTCATAAGCTGGTAAACTGTATCTATCTGGATTTGCTTCTGGATTCTAGTCTGTTCCATCGGACTGTTTTTTAAAGATGTGTCAGTCACATGCCATGTTGATGAATGTATGAGATTTATTTATGTTTTATATTTAGGCCCCTTACTGAGTGAACTCTAGTAGAATTAATGGCTTTCTTCATGGTTATTTTTTATTTACTAAAGGTATAGCACCTCTAAATTTTTTCCAATTTTATTTTTTCTTACTACACTGATTAGCACTTCCAGTACAACTAATAATGATCAAAGTAGGCTTCATTATCTTATCTCTCATTTTAATGGGAAATGTTAAGTATAATGTTGACTTTTGTTTATAGTAATTTAAGAATTTGCATTAGGAGTATGTTCAACTTAACTAGGTGCTGTTCTAATATCAAAGTATTTTTATTAAACCTATGAATTTTTTATATTAATAATACTAATATTGTATACTTTGCAATCTTAGTGATTCTTTAAATATAACTAAATTTGATTTGTCAACATTTTAAATGTTTACTTTTAATGAGATTGATTTCAAGCTTATGCCAATTTTTTAAATGAATTTGAAACTTTTCATCTCTTTCTAGTTTATCTGAATGTTAGAATAATAAATAGTGCCTGTTTTAAGATTAATGCAATATTTAAATAAGGTAATATATGTAAAGCATTTATGTTGATGTCTAGAACATAATAAGCACTTTAACAATTAGCTTATCTGTTTATTTCTGTTTTCTACAGGAGTTTATTTAGAATGGGAAATAACTTCCTTAAAACTAAATCACTGATAAATCATCTAGGCATGGAGGCTTTTGCAGAAGAAAATGTGTTTTTTCCCCAGATTTGTTCTAGGCAGAACGGTCTAGTCAGGCTTTGAGCTTTTTCTGGATTAAATATATTTTTTCTCTCTAATATTTACTTGTGTTCTCTTTAAGTTTGATGTGGCTTTTTTTATAACAAAATTAACTCTAATATTTGACATTTGTATACCTTTCTGATTGACTAATTTCTAATATATACTTTGTTTCTTATTTTCCTCAGTTTTTTTCATGTTTAACTTCTTAAATTGAATGAAGTTATCTGATTTTTTTTTCTTTTAAAAGCATGTATTTCATTAAAGTGATGAATTTAGTTCTGATTTCAACTTTATACATCAAAATTTGGAAGATGGGGTAAGTACTTTCATTTTTTTGTTTAGTTATTTTTTATATCTTAATTACTTGGAGTAAGGTAACATGCTCTGTTTACAAATTTGTTGTGGTCAAAGGATAGGTCAAAGGATAGATTAAATTTCTCTATAAATGTATGGATGCTTAAAAGCAGGAATTTTGTTTATGAAGGGAAAAAGTTTGATATTTATTCAATCTTCAACTATCAAATTGCATCTAACTGCTTTAAACACTTCTGTCATAAATGTTTGATTTCCCATTACAATTATCTTGGCCATAGTTTTTGCTTCAGTTATTTGGTATTACTGCTCAGTGTATAGTATGTAACTCATAACTTCATTCTTTTTTTTTTTTCAGCTTTATTGAGGTAAAATTAATTGTAAAAGTATACATCATGTTGATTTGATCTATGTATACACTGTGAAAGGATTCTTCCCATCTAGTTAATTAACACATGCATCACCTATTTATCTTTGCGTGTGTGCGACATTTGAGTTGTTTGAATTATGTAATACAGTATTCTCAACTATAGTCACCATTGTATACCTTAGATGCTCAGACTTTATTCATCTTACAGCTGAAATTTTGTGCCCTTTTACTAACCTCTCCTTGTTACCTCCACACCATGCCATAGCAACCACATTCCTGCAGATGTTTGACTTTTCTTGAATTCCAAATATTAGTGTTACTGTACAGTATTTGTCTTTCTCTGCTTGGTTTATTTCACATAGCTTAATTCTCTCAAGATAGAATCATGTCACAAATGGCAGGATTTCCTTCTTTCTCGTGGCAGAATAATATTTTATTGTATATATTTACCACATCTTTATCCACTCATGTGTTGACCGCCACTTAGGAGTTTCCATATCTCGGCCATTATAAATAATGCTGCCGTTAAGTATTGGAGTGCAGATAATATGTCATTTCCTCTGGATGTATACCCAGAAGTGGGATCACTGGATCATATTTTTTTATCTTTAATTTTCAGAGGAAAATCCATACTGTTTCCCTTAGTCATTGCACCAGTTCACATTTTCACCGGTGCACAAGAATTCCCTTTTCTCCACATCTTACCAACATTTATGATCTTGTCTTTTTATTGACAGCCATTCTTAAAAGGTATAAATTGATATCTCATTGTGGTTTTGATTTGCATTTCCCTGATGACTACTCATTTGAGCATTTTTCATGTACCTGCAGGTCATTTGTATGTCTTCCTTAGAAAAATGCCTGTTCTGTTCCTCTGCCCATTTTTTAAATGGTTTGTTTGGTTTTTTTGCTATTGAATTGTGTGAGTTCTTTATATATTTTGGACATGCACCCTTAATCAGTTATGTTTGCAAATATTTTCTCTCATTCTATAGGTTGCCTTTTCATCATTGATGATTCTCTTGGTTGTGCAGAAACTTTTTAGTTTAATGTAGTCCCACTCGTTTATTTTTGTTTCCATTGTCTTTGTTTTTGGTGTCAAATCCAGAAAATCATTGTCATGACTCATGTCAAGGAGCTTACACTCTGTGTATTCTCCTGGAATTTTACAGTTCCAGGTCTTAAATTTCCATCTTTAATTCATTTTTAGTTGATTTTTATGTATGGTGTGAGATAGGGGTCCAGTTTCATTATTTTGCATATGGCTGGCCACTTTTCACAGCACCGTTTATTGAAGAGATTGTCCTTTTCTCATTGTATATTTTGGCTCCTTTGTCCTAAATTAATTGACGATATATGTATGGGTTTCTGGGCTTTACTGTATTCCATTGATCTACGTGTCTGTTTTTATACTAATACCATACCATATTGATAATTTTTTTGATTTTCTATCTGGATGATTTATACATTGTTAAAAGTGTGATAATGAAGTCCCCTACTATTACTGTATTGCTATTTCTCCATTCAGGTATGTTCATATATGCTTTATATATTTTGGTACGCCTGTGTTGCATGCATAAATATTTACAATTATTTATCCTCTTCTTGGATTGACCTCTTTATCATTAGATAATGACCTTCTTTGTATTTTATTACAGTCTTTGTCTTAAAGTCCATTTTGTCCAATATAAGTGCTTTCTGTTGCTTTCCATGCATGAGATATCTTTTCCTATCCCTTTACTTTGTCTGCATGTGTCTTTAAAAAGCTGAAGTGAGTCTCTTGTGGGCTGCAGAGGTGGGTATTTTTTTTTTGTCCATTCAGCCATTCTGTGTCTTTTGATGGGAGAATTTAGTTCATTTACATTCAAAGTTATTATTGATAGATATGGATTTCACTATTGCCATTTTTAATATTGTTCACTGGCTGTTTTGTAATTTGTTTCTTTATCTCTTGCTCTCTTCCTTTGTGATTTGATGATTTCTTGTAGTGCTGGGCTTAGATTCCTTTTTTTTCCATGTTTTTTAAAAACCTATTACAGGTTTTTGCTTTGTGGTTACCATGATACTTAAATAAAACATCTCATTTATAAGTCTATTTTTACCTATAACAACTTAATTTCAAACACATACTCAAAGTCTTTCCTCTCCCAACATTTTGTTTTCAGTGTCACAATTTACATATTTTCACCTCCTGTCTCTATTAAAATTTTTTGAAGTTATACTATGTTCAATACTTTTGTCTAGAGTAATAAGTGATTTACCCACCACCATTACAACATTAGAGTATTCTGAATTTACCAGTGAGACTTATATTTTCAAATGTTTTCTTATTACTAGTGTGGTTTTGTTTCAGGTTGAAGAATGTTCTTTAATATTTCCTGTTTAAGACCGGTCTAGTGGTGATGAACTTCAGTTTTTGCTTGTCTGGAAACTATTTTTCCTTCATTTCTGAAGGATAGCTTTACTAGGTAAAATATTTTTAGCAGTTTTTTCTTTCAGCAGTTCTCTTTTTTGAAATTCTCATTTTCTTTATGCTAATGGTATGTGGAACTGATACTCTGACCAATAAAGCCATTCTCATATTAAAGAGTCTACTAGATCCTAATTAGCTATAGATGACACTCACTTGATCTTTAATAATCCTCAAAAAAATTATTTTCTAAAACAAGTTTCTAGCTACTTATAAGTCACTAAGTTTGCACACTGGTATTTCAAATATTACAACTTATAAAAATGTTAAACTTCTAAAGATTAACAAAAATTTAAAGTAGAAGAAAAAATTTATTTGTAATTTCAAAAGGTTTTGAGATTTGATCTTTTCCCCTTATAAAAAAAGTTAAAATAGAAAATAATTTAAAAACGTAATGTTATTTTGAGAACAAGCTGACCCAAGGTAGTCACACTGATTACAGCAGGCCTTTCTAGCCACATAGGATTGTCTCCTTAGACAACAGAGGTTGTTGTCTTACAGCTTCTGGATCAGCATGGCAGAAGCACCTCCTCCTCCATTGCAAATACTGGCAAGACCATATTCTCCTTGCTTCAAAGCATGAACCAAATGAATGACAATCCTGGCTCCAGACATCCTAGGATTAAGAAAACATTTGGGTTGTTTAATGAATTATAGAATCTGAGTAACCAAAAAATGTTTCTATTCCAAATTAACTTACTGAAAAGTTTATTAGCCATTATTTCTAGCTAAATTTCACTACTTTTCTTAAACTTAGGAGACTTGTTTCAAAAATAGTTATAGCTTTTTTAAAAGCCCAAGGATAGACTTTAATCTTAAATCTTCAGCATAAAACAATATTAGTTTTCAAGCAACACAACAAATGTGACAGATTTCTGTGTTCGGTGTTGGATTCTATCACAGTTGGTGTTTGCCTATGAAGGATAGGTAGAAAGGAAAACAAGCCCAGAGTAATAGTAACTATCATGAAGCAGTTTAAGCTTACATAGAAACACAAAGCAGCCATTAACCTACTTAGAGATTTTCTTTATGATTTTACCTACCCAATTGGATGTCCCAGAGAAACAGCTCCTCCATGGATATTCACTTTTTGAGGATCAATCTCCAGCATTTTAATGTTTGCTAGTACAACGAGACTAAAGGCTTCATTTACTTCCCACATTGTAATATCTTCTTTTTTCAATCCTGCATCTTTAAGAACCTAAAATTGTTAAAAATATAGATTATGTTCAAATAATTAACATTCAAAACTTTTGTTTTCTTGAAATTCTGCAATTTTGGTCGGTATTTCTATTTTAATATATGTAATATTTTTCAATTATAGGTGACACAATATTATATTAGTTTCAGGTGTACAACATAGCAATTAGACATTTATTTAACTTACAAAGTGATCATCCTATAAGTCTAGTACCCACCTGACACAATGCATAGTTATTACAACATTATCGACTGTATTCCCTATGCTGTACTTTAACATCCCTGCGACTTTTTAAAACGGGCAATTTATACTTCTTAATCCCTTTTCAACCAGCCTCCCAAGCCCCCTCCCATCTGGCAACCATCAGTTCTCTGTATCCGAGTCTGTTTTTGTTTTGTTTATTCATTTAAAGTGAAATCACATGGTCTTTGTCTTTCGCTGTCTCACTTATTACACTTATAAAACCCTCCAGGTCCATCCATGTTGTCGCAAATGGCAAGCTTTCATTTTTTATGGCCAAGTAATATTCCATTCTATGTATGTGCCACATCTTCTTTATCCAGTTGTCTTACTGATAGACACCTAAGTTGCTTCCATATCTTGGCTATTGTAAATAGTGCTACAGTGACTACAGGGGTGTATATATTCGAATTAGTGTTTTGGGTTTCTTCAGATGAACCCACAGAAGTTTAATGGCTAGATGACAGAATAGTTTTATTTTTAATTTTTTGAGGAACCTGTTTTCCATAGTAGCTACAACAATTTATAATCCCACTAGCAGTGCACAAGGGCTCCCTTTTCTCCACATCCCTACTAACACTTGTTTTTAATTTATTGATAACAGCTATTCTGACTAGGTGGAGGTAGTATCTCATTGTGGTTTTAATTTGCATTTCTCTGATGATTAGTGATAACTGAGCATCTTTTCATATATCTGTTAGCCACCTATATATCCTCTTTGGAGAAATGTCTATTTAGGTCCTTTGCCCATGTCTGAATCGATCGTTCTTCTGGTGTTAAATTGTATGAGTTCCTTATGTGTTTTGGATATTAACCCCTTAATACAGGGGTCCCCAAACTTGGGCCGGGGACTGGTTCTGGTCCACAGCCTGTTAGGAACCAGGCTGCACAGCAGGAGGTGAGTGGCAGGCAAGCAAGCGAAGCTTCATCTGTTTTTGCAGCTGCTCCCCAGTGCTAGCTAGCATCACTGCCTCAGCTCCACCTCAGATCATCAGGCATTAGATTCTCACAGGAGCACCAGTCCCTGGTGCCAAAAAGGTTGGGGACCACTGCCTTAACGGATGTATCACTAGTGAATGTCTTCTCTCATTCAGTAGGTTGTCTTTTCATTTTGTTCATGGTTTCTTTCACTGTGTAAAACTTTTTAGTTTGATGTAGTTCCATTTATTTTTTTCATTTGTTTTCCTTCACAAAGATATATCCAAAAAGATTTCCTAAGAATGATGTCAAAGAATTTACTGCCTGTTTTTTAGTAGAAGTTTTAGGTCTTACATTTAAATCTTTAACCCATTTTGAGGTTATTCTTGTATGTGGTATAAGGAAGTGGTCTAGTGTCATTTTCTTACATGTCTCTGTTTTTATGCCAGTCCCATGCTATTTTGATTACTATAGCCTTATAGTATAGTTTGATATCAGGTAGCATAATATCTCCAACTTTGTTCTTTTTCAAGATTATTTTGGCTGTTCAGGGTCTTTTGAAGTTCCATATGTTTTAGGATGATTTTTTCTAGTTATGTGAAAAATGCCATTGTATTTTGATAGTGATTACACTGAATCTCTAGATTGCTTTGGGTAGTATGGACATTTTAACAAAATGTTAATTCTTCCTATCCCATGAGCATGGTATATGCTTTCATTTATTTATATCTTCATTTTCTTTCTTCAGTGACATAATTTTTCGAGTATACATCTTTTACCTCCTTGGTTAAATTTATTTTGGGTTTTTTTTGTTTGTTTTTTAATGCAATTGTTAATGGATTGTTTTCTTAATTTCTCTGTTAATTATTGGTGTACAGAAATGCAACTGATTTCTGAATATTAATTTTGTATCCTGCTACTTTACTGAATTTATCAGTTCTAATAGGTTTTTGGTGCAATCTTTAGGGTTCTCTCTATACAGTATCGTCATCTGCAAATAATGACAGCTTTACTTCTTCCTTTCCAATTTGGGTGCCTTTTATTTCTTTTTCTTCTCTGATTACTGTGGCTAGGATTTCCAATACTATGTTGAATAAAAGTGGTAAAAGTAGACATTCTTGTCTTGTACCTGATCTTAAGGAAAATGCTTTTATCTTTTCCCCAGTGAGTATGTTAGCTGTGGGTTTGTCATATATGGCCTTTATTATGTTGAGGTGTGTTCTCTCTATCCCTACTTTGATGAGTTTTTATCATAAATAGATGCTGGATTTTGTCAAATGCTTTTTCTGCGTCTATTGATATGATCACATGATTTTTATCCTTCATTTTGTTTATGTGGTGTATCACAATTGATTTGCAGGTACCAAGCCAACCTTGCATCTCAGAAATAAATCCCACTTAATCATGGGGTATGATCTTTTCAGTGTATTGCTGAACTTGGTTTGCTAATATTTTGTTGAGGGGTTTTGTATCTTTTGCTCATCAGAGATACTGGCTTATAATTTTTTGTTGTCATAATGTCTGGTTTGGAATCCACATGATGCTAGCCTCGTAAAAGCTCAGAAGCCTTCACTCCTCTTCAGGTTTTTTGGAATAGTTTGCGAAAAATAGATGTTAATTCTTTTTAATATTTGGTAAATTTTACCTGTGATGTCATCTCGTCCAGTACTTTTTGTTTGTTGGTAGTTTTTTTGATTACTGATTCAATTTCTTTAATAGTTATTGGTCTGTTTAGATCTTCTGTTTCTTCTTGATTCAGTCTTGAATGACAGTATGTGTCTAGGAATTTATCCATTTCTTCTAGATTGTCCAATTTGTTTGTATATAATTATTCATAGTTTATTATCCTTTGTATTTCTGTGGCGCTGTTACTTCTTTTTCATTTCTGATTCTATTTGTGTCCTCTTTTTATCTTGATGAGTCTGGTTAAAGGTTTATCAATTTTGTTTATCTTTTCAAAGAACTAGCTCTTGGTGTCATTGATCTTTTGTAGTATTTTAGACTCTAGTTTATTTCTGCTGTGATCTTTATTCTTTCCTTTACTCGCTTTGGGCTTTGTTCTTTTTCTATTTACTTTAGGTGTAAAGTTACACTGAGACTTGTTTCTTGAGGTAAGGCTGCATTGCTATGAATTTCTCTCTCAGAACTGCTTTGGTTGTGTCCTATAGGTTTTGGGTCATTGTGTTTTCATTTTTCTGAAGGTATCTTTTTATTTCTTTGATCTCATTGTTAACCATTTATTGTTTAGTATAGCATGTTATTTTGCCCCCACATGTTTATATGTGTTTCAGTTTTCTTCTTGTAATTGATTTCTAGTTTCATGTCTTTGTGAACAGAAATGTTTGACATGATTTCAGTCTTCTTAAATTTATTGACTTGTTTGGTAGCCTAACATGTAGTCTATCCTGGAAAATGTTCCATGTGTACTTGAGAAGTGCATTCTTCTTCTGATGCTTTTGGGTGAAATATCCTTAAACTATCAATTAAGTATAGCTAGTCTAATATGTAATTTAAGGCCACTGTTCCCATGTTAAATTTCCTATCTGGATGATCTATCCACTGATGTCAAAGGGGTGCTAAAGCCCCCTCCTATATTGGGTGTGTATGTTTACAAGAGTTATAGCCACTTGTTGGATCGATCCCGTTATCATTATCTACTCCACCATCTTGACCAAAAGTTCAGTTTGTTTTGCCCTTTGATGCAAGAGATATTTAAATTGGGAGTTTCTCAGTATCAAGGAGGAATGGGCTTTTTCTTTTCTTATTTCTCATGTTACTGAATTGTAATAAAAAGATTTTGTTTGCACTATCTTATTTCTATTTTGGAGCGAGAGAAACTTGATTTTCCTGAACATTCCATGGATACCTTAATATGTGCCTTCCATTTGGAGGCACATATTAAGATCTACTTTACTGATTATATGTTGCTTAGTTTTAGGTTCTTGATCTTTCAAATGAAAGGGGTATGTTAATCTCCAGTGTTAGTATGTTTGTTTTTTACTGCATCCCTTATAGTTTCTGCTTTATAAAAGTTGCTGGAGGGTATTTGGGGCACAGATTTTCAGAGATATAACTTGACTGTAAATTATCTAATCTTATCTCTTTAAAGTCTTTTAAAATATCTCATTTTGGTAGTTCCTCATAGGCAAGAAGGTATTGTGGTGCTAGTGATGATTATCCTTAATGCTATTATCTTCATTAAATATTGCCAGTGCCCTTTTTCTTCAGAAGTTTTTTTGTTGTGAGCAACAATAAAATTAAACTATTCTTCCCCCTTCCTCTATTCTGCCAGTGAACTCAGATAACTTTCTAAGCTATACAGTTCAAACATCTTCCTCTGTCCCAACAGCACAAGTCAAAACATGGCACCCAACTGTAGCTATTCTCTAACTCTCAGAATCTGGCTTCTACCTTCAGAATCCAGAACTGTTTATCACCCTTGCTCTTCAGGGTGATTCATTCACTTTCCGTTGTATAATGTCACTTTCTGAGATCTGCCACCTCTGGATTGGTCACTCCCCACTGTTTCTGATTTTCTCTATCCTTAATCTCCACTGATTTCTGCCTTTTTTTTTTTTTTTAAACCTTGGTGCTACTCTCTAAAGTTCACTTTCTTGGATGAGGCTCTCCTCCTTCTGAAAGAGAATATTTGTTTTAGTCTTCTGAGATTCCCTCAACCCCTAAACCTACGTGGGGCTCTCTTTTCCTGTGATTCTTTAACAATTTCCACAGAGATACAGACTGACAATTTGGAGTGTGCTTTCTGTGTGCTCCCAGCAGTTCCTTTTCTGGAATGAAGACCCTCTCCTTCTGGTAGTATTTTCTTTGAATTCTAGAACCAGGACCTTCAGCATTCCCTTTTTTCCTTTGCCATACCAACCTTCTACTTTGTGGTTACCATACCAGTATGTGACTTACAAGTAATTGAAGCTATCTCTGTGCTTTGGAAGATCTTAAAATCTAAAACCTGCAACCTTTGGTATATGCAAACCAGAAGTTGGCATGATGGAGTATATTCTCACCTTAGGTACAGCATATGCAGGTGCAATTGGAAAATCAATAGGGTCTACAGCAGCATCAGCAAATGCTTTATTAAAAAAATGAAATCATTAAAATCTTTTTGATAAACACCCAAAGCTATATCTAACAACTGTTATATAGAATATGCAAAAAGTGCAGGTTTCCTAACCCATGTAATATATGTAAATATATTTGTTCTTTTTCTAAAATTCTACACTTTAATAATCTAAGCCATTGACTTTCACAGGAAAGGAGAATTCGCCTCCAGGGACATCAGTATTTTTGATTGTCGCAACAGGCAGAATGACACTTATTGTGGTATCTAGTGGTAGAGGCCAAGGTTGCTGCTAAATATCCTAACAATACATAGAGCAGCCCCCACAACAAAAAATTATTTGTTGTAAAACATCAGTAGTGCTAAGATTAAGAAACCATGATCAAAACTAAGAATAAAATGAAGTTATAAGGTTTTTATAAAGTAACAAAAATATGTAACTCTTTATGAAGAAGGCAAGGCAGGTTTTATAGCTAAAAATATGGTTAAGGAGGTTGAGGGTCTGCCAAGGCAACATAGTTAATAATAAATGCCAATACATCTAGATTTCATAATTCCAGACTCCTAATCCCATATTCTTTTTCTGTATATGGGATTCTACCTGGCTACTTTTCCCCATAGTGCCAAGGTAAAACATGTACCCTATATTCTCCCACTCATAGAGGATAGGAAAAGATTTTTAAAGCTTAATCTTACATAAAGCAAATTATAACAAAAATATTAAAGAAGCTTCTATCAATTAAAATATGTAGTAGTTAAATTCTGTCACAAAGTACAACCTATAGCTAGCTAGAAACAGCCAACTTCAATATTATGTATTACTGACAAGGAAAGTCAAGAACAACTTAAAGAATAAACAAGTTCAGAACATCTTCTACCTGCTATTCTTGCCAGTGGTTTAACGTTGAGTCGCTTGGCTGCATCTGCAGTCATCAGAACCATAGCAGCTGCTCCATCATTCAGTGTGCTGGCATTGGCAGCTGTTACTGTACCTGAAAGCATCAACGAGCATGAAGTCAAAACATTCACACTGAATTCATTTGGTTCAATTTAACAAATTCCTACAGAGTACTGCTTAGTTGTTAAATGCATGGATAATTAACAAATATGATGGAGACAACTCCTGCCTTCAGGGAACACACATAGCTAATGATAACAATTAATGGAAGAATGCCTGTTGGTGTTAATTTTTGGTAACAGTTTCATGATAGCAGTGGGTAAGTGCTGGTTTATAATTCTTCACAGATAAGTACCAGTTCATATTTTTTTCCCCAGAGTCTCTGCTTATCTACCATAAAGCAGACACTCATATTTTTCAAGTCAATGTGAAATCAGATATTTCTTCTCTACAATCACTTGAAGTTAAATGTCTAAAAAATGACTAAAAAATCACTGAACTGTACATTTCAAACAGGAGAATTTTATGATATGTAAATTGTCAAGCTATTTTTTAAAAATATCAATGAAGACCCTATACTAGACTGCTGCCAAAATGTAAGTGTACTTTTGCATGCTTTTTAAAAAAACTGATGTGTTCCTATACTTGGTTTTGAGAAATTCAGTCAGGAAAGGGGAAATTTTTTCAGTTTTATCACAACTGTATACAGCCAATTTTAAAAGCCTGTTTTTTCTCAATGGATCTCAAAACCATTAACATTGAATCCCATTTATACTAACATTCAACAATTATTTCAGGACCTACTACATGCCAGGCACTGGAGATACAACAGTGAACTACAGTGGTCATCTCAGACCTCAAGAAGTTTACAGATATTTAATGACTATATAAACTTGACTTTTTTATCACAATAAATTTTCAAGATGAATGGCATATGGAAAACTGAATTCTATAGTCATTCCGTAATCTCTTCCAAAACTATTGTTAGGCAATTTTAAATATACTTTGGATAAATATCATTTGTTAATTTCACTTGAGCCTGATATACTGAAAACATTAAATACCATCTATAGATTAGGGGTCCCCAACCCCTGTGCCAAACGTCAGTACCAGTCCATGGCCTGTTCAGAACTGGGCCACACTGCAGGAGGTGAGTGGTGGGCAAGCGAGTGAAGCTTCATCTGTATTTGCAGCTGTTCCCCAGCGCTAGCATCACTGCCTCAGCTCCACCTCAGATCATCAGGCATTAGATTCTTATAAGGGCACCAGTACCTGGTGCCAAAAAGGTTGGGAGCCACAGATCTAGATGTTTTCTCGAATTTTTTAAAATCCTTAGGCAGTTCCAAGACTAGATATAATACTGACTCCATTTTTTTCTTATGCTTTTAATACTAACCGTTTTCTTTTTGGAATACTGTCTTCAGTTTTGGAACTTTAGTGAAATCAACACGTTTATATTCTTCATCTTCTTTCACCACTACATCTGGTTTGCCTAAAACAAAAATCTTTTAAGTAACCGCCATTCAAAACAACAGTTATTCATTAAGAAACTTGTACAAGGTGCTTCGTCGTCTGTGCCTCCCTTGTGTGCCTACATACATTAAACCATACCAGGTAAATTCTAATCTAGAATCTACCATCTATAATCTGTTAGTGTCTTAAAGAGATTTTTAAGTAGCTTAACACAATTTAAATCTATTTCAGCCACATCCCATTCTCTTCTCTCCACCGCCTTCTGTGATCACAGATCCCATTCTTGCGACCGCAGATATCTGACCTAGGCTGGATAAACTCTAGTACCCCATCATTCCGAGCACAATAATCATTTCTAGAGTGGATATATAACCTAAACCAAGTTAATGAGTCTTTACTGTGGATTTATTCTAGAGGAGTTGGTGAGGAGGTCTCTTTCTTCTTTGACTGAGAACCCTATAGGGGTGACCCTAGAGATGGAGGCAGCAACTTGAGAAGGCTGAGCAAATAAAGCACAAAAGCATGGAGCACTGAGAAGCCAAGAGAGCATAGCCTAACAGTACTGAATACCCAGTTCTAATCTCTGAAGTTCCCAGAGCTGACTGGGTGCTACCGTACATCCTTCAGTTCTAGGAGGTATACCCAGTACTCTTCTAATAAATCCCCTTTTTCACTTAAGCTAATTGTTGTCGGTCACTTAAAGTTCTAATAAATACATTTCTAAGAAATAATATGCTTAGTGTAATCTGCAATTGAGTAGGAATCTTACATTAAATTGGGTTGAACTATGTTAACTCTGAAGTAGCAACATTTCCTTAACCAGAGCAGAAATGTCTGTCCTCAGTGGAAGTGAACAAAGATAAAAGTATACTAGTTTAAAACTTAAAAAATTTAGCAACATGTAAAATATACTAAAAATTAAAATCTACTTTAGAACATTGTCCCTCTACCTCTTACTGTAATTGTGACAGGAATAACTTCATTTCCAAATTTTCCAGCTTCCCATGCTGATTTACTTCTGGTGTAGGAGTTAATAGCATAAGTATCCTGTTCATCTCGTGCAATATTCAGCTTCTTTGCCGTATTCTCAGCACAGTTGCCCTGATAAAAGTTGGAATTTTTTTTAAACTAACTTTGCATCACTTATATCTGTTACCTATGCATAAAATAAAATTAGCAGTTAAATTTAGTTTCTTAAAATATACTTTTCTGTTCTAGGTAACTTTTCATTCATGTCTTACCTTCAAATACTTGAATTAGCCCAGAAGTTGCTATTTCAAAGGCAAATAATTAAATAGTTATAGAACACATTATTAGAAGTCAGAATATACCCTATTCTGGTGTGGGGCAGTTCATTCAACAACTGAGCCAGGCTGATGTAATGAGCATAGAAAAATACTTGTCTAAAATGCATGGCTAAAATCAACGTTTACAGAGCCTGACCTTCAGTTCAATTTCTAAAATTCATATAATTTTTAAAATCAAGCAGTATTGTATAGAGATGGCATTTCTCCATTAAAAAGCAATAATTACCATATGAATTTTATTGTAGACGTCGGTTAGCCCATCTTTTACTATTGAATCTTCAAGCTTTACCCCACCATACGGTGTTGCTCCTCTGTTCATTACATAGGGAGTGTTGGACATGCTCTCCATCCCACCTGCCACCATCACATCCTGCTCAGCAACACAGAAAACCAGGTGTCAGTTCAGATAGTAGTTAAAAACCTATTTTACCCATTACACAGCTACAACAAACAAGTACTTTACACAGACTTTATTAAACATTTGTTACACAGTGAATACAGGAAGAACTCTCTTGACCCTGACGAAAGGAAATGGTCTAAAATGTGTAATAATTAAGATTAGAATCCAACATTAATAAGAATGCCAGGAATCTTTCATATAAGACCATCTTCTGAAATTCCTGTCTTCCAGTACTTCTATTCAAACTGCTAAAAGTTTAATGTCTTCTCTAAAAGATTAGAAGTAATCTCATTTCACAGAATCCTACTGTTTCCTTGATTGAGATCATCTTCATCAACAGCTATAATAATTTTCTCTTTAGTCTATAGCCATGCTACCCTGAACAAGCTCAATCCCATCTCATCTCTGAAGCTAAGCAGGGTCAGGCCTGGTTAGTACTTGGATGGGAGACCACCTAGGAAGACCAGAAGCTGTCGGCATAAAAAAAAATAAAAAATAAGAGATTGTAAGCTAACAAGGTCCTTGCAATCTGTGAGGTCAACCAACAGCTGCCTCACCTAAAAAAATAAATTAAAAAAAAATAATAATAATTTTCTTCTTGATCATCTGACATGCTGCAGCCTTTCCTTCCACCCAGGTGTCATCCACACTCAACTCCAGCATGGTTATCACCAAGGCCCTTTATGATCTGACTGTTTTGTCTCTTTCCAGTCTCATGCCTAGACCTACACCTCAGGTCACACAGAACTGTTTAAAGGTCTTCAAAGAAACCATGATCATTCACATATATCCTGGCACTTTTTGACCCATACACCAACATGTAAAAACACCCACATTTCCTTTACAACTATTCAAAACACAGCCACTTCATGCTTTGCCTGACTGCCTATTTCTAGCGCTTGGAACAGTTTCCCTTCCTTCTTTTGTTTTCCAATTACTACGTAATACTAATGATAGCATTATGCAATAAGTGGAAAACTGCTTTCATTACACTGTATTGTGGCTATATTTATATGTTGAATCTCTTCAGTAAACTAAGCTCCTCTGAGGCCCGAAAGCTTGTCATATTTCTTTTCATGTCTTTGGTGCCTGGCATATATAGTAGAAGCTTGATAAATATTAATCAATTGAAACCTGTTATTACAAATCAACAAAAGGAATTCATTTACATTAAAGGGCTTGTTAAAAACGGTTTAATATAAGACATTAAAATTAAAGCTAATGTTATTTTCTCACAGCTATTAATTAGGAATAAAGACAAACACAAGTTCTACACAAAAGAAACCTAATTATTTTGCCTATTTTGAAATGTAAATGATCAATTCTTATGTAAGTTTTATTCAATTATCCTGAAATACTGAATATTTTCTGGGGATAATAGCTATGAGTGACAGAAAATAAGGTACCAATTATTCTTCAATATAAAATCGACCATTTTCCAAAATCATAAATATTCAAAACAAGGCATGCCGAGTATTCCTATAAGTCAGATAATTGTATACATGCAGAAATGAATCAAATACTGAAAGTATTTTAATATAGTAAAAATAACATTTCCTAGAGAACCACAATAGATCAACTGAGACAAAACCTTGTCATTCAAACAGTTTTGAAACATCTAAACAATCTCATGACCATTTTTACCCACGGTTTCACAAATTTTGGCAATACCTCATGTTGGTGTTACACTGCGTGTAGGCAAACAAGCTCTCACAACCTTTGGAAAGTGTGTAACTGGTATAATCTGTATGGAAAGTATTTGAAGATGTCAAAATTTTTAAAGCTTCTGACTCAGAAATTCTCTTAGGAATTTTTCCAGCAGACTTGCACATGATGAGATTTTTTTAATGTTTTGTTCACTCGTCTCCAATGACTGTCACATAGTAAGTGCCCGGCTAATGTGGGACAGAAGTAGGATTTGAAATTCATCTGGCTCTAGACTTTGTGTTCTTAACCACTAGGAGGCGATTCAGGTAATCTGAGTACACAAAGATACACGTATAGGGATACTCGCTACAGCATTATTTAAAATTGTGAAGAACTGGAGACAGTCTAGATGTCCCTTCAATAAGGACCCATAAAATATATCATAGTTGTTCAGTTCAATAGAATACTATCTTAGGTGCTGATACAGAAAGATCTCCAAGACATTAAGTGAGGCACAGTTTAAGCAACTTGCCCAAAGTTTCTCTGCTCTTAAGTGTCAGATTACACAAGTAGTGAATTAAGTCAGAGACTCAGACAGGGAGAAGAAGAAAAAAGACATTTGTCATTTTACATGTTTCTATACCATGTCAGTTTTTAGCATGGTGCATATATAATCTTTAATATAAAGTTTCTGATGCTTAGCTCAGTTATCACTATCCTTGTTTTTTCTCTTTGGCTTGCCTGATAATTAGAAACAAAGCAAAGGAGGAATAACATCAAGGGTACACATAATTGTGGTTCTTGTCCAGTTAAGAACTAATTTGCAAACACCTCAGCCAGTTTTTACCCTGGTGTGTTGTGCCCTGATAGGCTGGAATGCACTAGACAGGGATAGAGATGCCTATTGTCTAATTCCAACCCTGTAACTTTGTGTTTGTGGTCGTCTCAACCGCACTTCCCTCAATTGAAAAAAGGGCTTGGATCTCATAAACTCTTAGTTCTATGAGTCTAGGTCTAGTCTCCTAACACCACAGCATATGTTGCTATCTCTTACTTGATCTCAGGTCAAGACAAGATCTAAATCAGGCCAACAGAAAGCCTGCACAATTTAACAGCTGAACATGGCCACGTAGGAACTATAAATTAGTCATCAGTTCTGGGCTTAATCAACAACTTGATTCCCAGGGTCAGCACCTTATTCTCTTTTATGATGGAAACACTTACTCTGGTGAATACAAAATTCATGATGTTTTAAATTACCAAAAATCTCAGAGAAAGACTTTAAGGGTCATCCAAACACTAAAACATCTTAGCTGAAAACTACGTTTTAACATAAGATACTGAGCTATTGTTTTGACCTCTACTTCCAAAGGAATTAGCACATCCAGATACTCCTTGAGTGTCTGAAACAACATAGCAACTATACTTAGGAGAATCACTTTTAAAGCATAAATGTGCTTAGGCTTTTGGTGTCTTTTAGCACTGCGTATTTTAATGATAAAATGGAAATGAAGGTGCTTCTTACCTGATGTCCACACATAAGATTCTGAGAAGCCATCATAATGGCTTTCATTCCTGAGGCACACACTTTGTTTATAGTGGTACATGGAATAGATACTGGTAAGCCTAAAACCAATATAAATAAGTCATACTTTTGAAAAACAAAGATACTCATCAAACAACTGTAGAATTAAAATTAATAAAGCATGTTAAACTATAATCTGCAATATTCCTGCCAATATGTCTCTTAAATGTTACATTATGCATTTAACATTTCATTTAAGCTGAAATGACCTCCATTTTGTCATATCAAATATTTTAAGTATAAAATAAGCAAAAATGTATTCCAAGTACCTGCACCTAGTACTGCTTGCCTAGTAGGCGCCTGTCCTTCACCTCCTTGTAGAACATTACCCATGTATGCTTCTTTCACTTCTTCTTTTGGAATCCCTTTTTTAAAAAAAATCAAAAGCATTTCCATATTTTGTTCAATTTAGTAATTAGTGACTACTTAATACAGTACATGACATATAGTAGGAACAGTTTCTTTTTCTTGTCGGTTTTGAGTTTTATTCCTAATTCTGTAGTACAAGGACTTCTTTACAAGGGAATTCAGAACTGCAGGCATCAAGTCATTTCTAAGTGTGATGTATACAGTAAGTGCAAAATAAGTATTTGTTTCATTGATTCACTGCCCCCCTTAACACAAAAAGCAAAGCAACTACTGACCTGCCTTTTCAATGGCTCCCTGAATTGCAATGGAACCAAGCTTAGTGGTTGGCAGGGAGGAAAGGCTGCCTAGAAAGGATCCAATGGGTGTTCTTATAGCACTTACTATTACCACTTCCTGGTAAGACAGAAGATAAAAAAACATTACGTTTAAATATTTTACCCAAATCGCTTATTAAATAAACATAATTCATAGACATTATCTAAGAAATACTTACGATGACTACTCATCAAAGATTAAAATAGTATCTGAACAACAGTAAAACTAATCAGTTCAATGCTGGTACATTATGATTTAAGACCTAATAGAAAACCTAAGACAAACCAGCTCTAAAGTAGGCATAGATCCTCCCCAGTTCTCCATAGGAGGTTTGAAACTAGAAGCTTAAGTTTCAATTCTTCTCAGTTAAATTTAAAGGATTACTTTATCCTTGTTAACTGCATACTAAACAACCCTAACCAAAGGGCTTCCTTACTGGAGGGAACTCTGAAATAGGAATCAATATCTGTAAGCTAGATGTGGCCACACCACACCTAGGACAGAGCCATAATTTCTTAAATGATTAAAATGAAATTTAAAAAGTAGATAAAAGGCTCTCAAATATTCGGACACACTACTGTAACAATTCTCTCCTTACATTTGCCTTCCACATTCTCATTTTAAACTCATAAATAAGAGATTCATCCCTTAGATTTTGGTAGAAGGCTATTACTAAATCATTTTAGGGACCCGTATGAAACAGAGAGGACTCCCTCAGAAAGCACTAGGTGATCAGGTGATGGTCCTTGTCTAATACCCGGCCTAGTTTAGTCCCTTCTAGTATCTTCCACGTGGCCTCTGCAATGTGCCACACAATATAATGAGGGGTCCCTGAGAGTTAAGGGAAAAACCCTGCCCAGTTTCTGAGAGAAGGCTGTCTTGCAATAGACCAAGGGGAAAAAGCAGAAATTATCCAGGGCGCTAGATTGAAATATTTTTGTGATAATTTGGGAGTTTAACTTAATATTTCAATAATTAGCTATTCCTAACTATTGCATCACCATGAGTTGACCCTCACGCACAAATCATAAGAATATGCATTTCTTTTACTGACTACATTTCCTTTAAATTCTTTAATTTTAAAGCACAATTTAAATTTATACTTACATTCAAAGTGGGTTTTGATACATAACTTCGTTTTACATAACTTATTTCCTGTAATATAAATATAATGTTATGATGTAGAAAATAATAATCAAAATCATTTTATACTTCTCAGTGATGAGGTTATGGTGATTGCTTCTTTATACTTCTATTTTCAAATGTTCTACAGTTAGCATATATCAAAAAAATATTACTATATAATATGCTTTTCTGATTAACTGTTCATTGGAAATGTATGTTTTAACGTCTGGTTTATCTTAAAATGTCTAAGCCTTTTTTAAGTAAAAGCATAAAACAGTTTTAACATAAATCTTTCGGTTCTAAATTAAGTAATTTTAGAGTACCACAAGAAAATAATTTCATTCCTTAAAAAAATATTTAAATAAAACTTGCTATTTCTCCCCACCCACTTCTAACAAATGTCTCTGCTTTCAGACAAACACACCTCATACCAATATGGTCTATATTATCAGATAAATTCTTTTGTAAGGAAGAAAAAAAAATATCTTGCTCTTACATCTCAATTCTTTGCACACTATTCTTAAGAACAATGCCAATAAGAACAAATTCTAAAAATGCAGATCATAGTTCAGAGACCTAATTAATCTGAAATTGGACAATTTTCTAGACAAAGAACAATAAATTTTTTGTCCTCTAAGATCAGAAAGCATAATAAATATTCAAACATGACAACTTATATTTAGAACCTAATCTTGTTGATAGTTATAATGTCCAGACATATGTTAGAGCCTATAAACATTTAAAAACTAAACTAACCCAAGAACTTAGCTTTTCACAGGTTAAACAAGCTTTGTTTGATTCAATGCAAATAATCAACTAAAGCTTTTAATTTATAATACAGACAAAAAGATTATTTGACAAGTAGTGGTTATAAGCAAAGATAACCAAAGTAACCACAAGGTATCCCCCCAAAATTTATTTTTATAAAGTGTTTAGATAAGAATAGATACATGAAAATGGCAGCTTGAAGACAATGTTTTCCTAGGCAGTGGAAAATCAGGATTTAACTTAAGGTAATCTTTTTTCCAAAGTTAATAGATAGAAAAAGTCACTTTTATGTAGAAAGTTCATAAAAACAACTCTGCTATAAGAAATAACTTTAGTCCTGATTTGATTCAAAATGTCATCAGAATATTCAGTGAAACCCCTACTCTGAAGAGATGCCTTCACCATCTTTGTGAGGGAGAGATAACACAATACTGTTTGATCTTTCACTTTCTCAGACATATTAAGATCACTTACCTTATAGAATGCACTTTGGGGAATGTGAGATCTGTACAATATGGTCCCTGTATTCAAGCAGTATTATAATTTTATAAGGGAGAAATGTTAAAGTTATCTGTACACATTCCTAAGTCAGAATTTATTAAGAACTATAAGAGAGGCATAAAAACAAGCCATCCTCAGGGTCTGTGGCAGCCTGACCCTGCCAGGCCATTTCCTGCTGGAACAAGTTCGTTCCTGACTGCCCTCAACCCCCAAGGACTCTCCAGCTAACATCAGTTTTCTCATAGCTTGTCAACCAGTCAGTGTTCTTCCTTATATCTGTAGCTGTGTAGGCATGACAAGACTGTATAAAACTGCCTGTTATGTTACAATCGGGGCTCGGCCTTTGGATAAGAATCCGCTGAGCCAGTGCCGGCATCAATAAACACGGCTTCCCGCTTATAGCCTCGGTGTCCCGTCTCTGTTCGAGAACCCCGCAACATTTCTGAGGGCTCATCCAGGATCCAGAGACAGCGGTTTTTCACCTCCCTTGCCTTCAGGGTCTGGCCCCCGGGACACTGTGAGAAGCAGACTTCACCTGGCGCCAGCAGACCTGTTGTCTGTAGGGTAGGACAACTCTTTCAGCAGACTCCAAGACCACAACGGAACCTGGAGAGGCACAGGAATCAGCCCAGGAGCACCACCTGACTGGTAAGGACCCGGGTCCCAGGTACAGCCTGTCCATTAGAGGACAGAAGAGGAATCTGATCAACTCCCAAGGTCACCCCATTACATTTGTTAGAGGAAACTGTGACCTCTCAAGTACATAGGGTGGAGGGTGGAGTGTGTTTGGTGTGTGACTGAGTGTAACTGAGACATGGCCCAGCTACGAAGTGAGAGTTGAGCCCCTATCCGCGGTTCTGTGGCCAGCACTACAGCTCTAACTGCTTCCCTGTTTCCCAGTCCCTTAGATGAATGGGACCCCAAGTACTCTCCTCAAGAAGCAGCCTGGTTTAAGACTAAAGAGGGAGCCTCCTCTCCAGTGGATGGTGGAAGTTCAAGGACAGATGAACTGCAGTCCCTGGGAGCCTAGCCCCAGCTTTTGTCAAACACTTTCACCAAAGGACTCACCTTGGTGGCACTGCTCTAGAAACCACTCTGGGCTGGTACTTCTATGTCTCCCAGATCTCTAGCATCTTCCAAGCCCTGTGTGAATGGTGCGAAGCCTGTGCCTGCAACAACCCCAGGCAAGGGCCGTGTGCCCCACCGTGGGTCCAAAGTGTCAGTGGCACCCCCTTTGAGGAACTCAAAGTAGATTTCACTGAAATGCCTTGATCATAGGGCCTCAAGTATCTCTTGGTCTTTGTTTGCACCTATTCCGGTTGGATAAAGTCTTACCCCACCTGGACTGAGATGGCCCCAGACTGCTCCTCTGAGAAATTGTTCCACGATTTGGCCTACCAGTCACCACTGGCTCAGATAATGGGCCAGCCTTTGTAGCAGAAATAGTGCAGCTACTAGCCAAGAATTTAAATTTAAATGGAAATTGCATACCACCTATCAACCACAGAGTTCGGGACAGGTGGAATGCGTGAACAGGACCCTTAAGACTCAGTTAAGAAAACTATGTCAGGAGACACATCTACATTGGGACGAAGTCCTCCCCATGGCACTATTAAGAATCAGGTCAGCCCCAAGGCACCCTCACCATATTATCCAGTACTATGGCCCCACAACTTGGGCCCAAGGTGGGAGCTGGGGTTATCGGACCCCTATATATATAAAGTGGATTGACAGATTACAAGCAGTTCTTGGATCGTAACCAGTGAGAATGCTACTGCCTTAGAGCTTCTAGCCAGGCAACAATCCCAGATGTAGTCAGCTTTCTACCAAAACCGCTTAGCCTTAGATTATCTAGATTATCTATTAGCAAAAGAAGGAGAAATGTGTGGAAAGTTTAACCAGACTGATTGTTGCCTCAAAATAGATGACAATGGCAAAGCTATGACTGTCATAGCTACTGATATTAGGAAAATAGCTCACGTGCCCGTCCAAAGTTGGAAAAAATGGGACCCTAGTAACCTCTTTGGAGGCTGGTTCTCCACTTTTGGTAGCTTTAATACCTTAGTTGGGATAGTACTCTTCCTCAGGACCTCCCTCCTCCCAAGCCTATTGCCTCTTTTTATCTGGTCAACCACCTCCTTCACAGAGGCTATAGTAGAAACAAAAACTGCAACAAAAGTCCTCATGCTATGGAGATACAGGCTTTAAACCAAAAATTAGAAGGAGATGATGCTCTCTGACCCAATCCTGGGTCCGAGCATCAAAGTGGGGAATGTGGCAGCCTAACCCTGCCCTGCCATTTCCTGCTGGAACAAGTTCGTTCCTGACTGCCCCCACTCCCTTCCAAGGACTCTCCAGCTAACAACAGTCTTCTCACAGTTTGTCAACCAATCAATGTTCTTGCTTTTATCTGTAGCTGTGTAGGAATGACAAGACTGTATAACACTGCCCTTTGTGTTACAATCGGGGCTCAGTCTGGATAAGAAAATGCTGAGCCGGTGCCGGCATCGATAAACGCTGCTTTCTGCTTATAGTCTTGGTGTCCCGTCTCTCTGTTCGAGCATCCCACAACAGGTTCAGAGGAGAAAGATTACTTGGTGTGGTACAGTGAACATCAATGTAAACATAATAGACATCATCAACGTTACTTGTTACTATCAGATTAACCTGTTTGTGCAGACCTTGAAGTAAAATTTATCTGCCATCTCTGTATTTGTACCTCTGAAAAGAGCTGTGTCACTGGATTAGCAAGGTTTGTGTTTATTCCCCTGAGCTTCACATGTCCATCAAAGTGGCAGTGTACATACTGGCCCAGGCCAGCACACCTCTGCTCAGTAGGCCCAGGTACATCTAGTTAATGGAGATACCTCTCGGTATGAGCTGTGCAAAAACAAGTGCACCCTCGCATGTCATGTAATTTGGGCTGCTGCTTATATAACCTACTTATCACTAAGGATTGTAACATATCAGTTAAAAGTTCTTACTTGTAGTAAACATGCCAGTCATTGCTCTCCAACTACACTCCTTTCCCTAAAGGGTCTGCAAGGGACAGCCTAAAGTGACCCATCTTTCTCCCAAGCCAGAGCTTACAGGGCCAAGAATGGAATCGACTTTGACCCATGCTGGCACCCTGAGAGACTAGGCCAAATGGATACTGATGGGCACTTGAACTGAAAGGTCACAAGGGGGCTAGAGCCAACCAGCAGCATGGCCAGCCAATGCCACATAAAAGCAGAGGTTACAGCAAAGACAGAGAAGAAAAGGAATATGAAGATTCCTTTTCATATTCCTGAATATGAATACTCAGCTAAAAGAAGAAAAATGACCATGGTACACTACAAGAGACAAAACAAGAGACTGGTTAGTGTTTTTCTAGTCAGAGTTTCAGCAACACCAGCTATTTTCTCTCCTTGGATGTCCAAGAGCCTATCGTGTATCTTCAAAAATGCTCCTTGCTACGTGGCTAATTTGGAATGGGATGTTCCTTGCCATCAAAAAGCCTTTTAAGCCACTTCTACTCTTCTTTAAAGTTTCTGGACATTCTTTGGTCATTCCACTTTGCCCTGGATCCCATCTCCAGTTGCCTTTTCAAAGATGCCACATGTTCAGTTATCCCTTCCCTCTCTCCTACATCATTCATCTTTACTTCTGGATCATTCCATAAGGTTATACAAAAAAAACCTAAAAAACAAATTTCCCTTACCCTATAGTCCCACTAAGCTTTCACCTCATTTCTTAGCTCCCTTGTGTAACAGAAGTTTCCCAACAGCTATTGATAATTTCTGTTTCCTTGTTCTCACCTCCTGTTAACTGTTCAAGCCTCTCCAATCTAGATTTTATCCACACTATTGTTGGCTCTGAGCAAGATCAACAATGTCTGCGTAGTAACATCCAATATACACACACTGTAATCATCTCACCCTTTCAGCAACATTAGACTCACTTTTCGGGAAATATGCACCATAGTTAAGAGCCAGGGCTCACTTAGCGGAGTATTCTTGAGCAAGTATTTAGACTTCCTTTACCTTGGTTTTCTCAAATATCCGCCATGGGTCGTGGTAAGAATGAAATGAGGTAATATGTGTAAACCACTACACAAATGCTCCCTTTTCTTGGCTTCCATTTTAACACAATCCTGAGGTTCCCTTCCTACCTCACTAGTTATTTTTCTGTCCCCTTTGCTGTCTCATCCTCCCCCTCTCAACCTCTAAGTGATGGAATGTCCCAAGGGCTTTTTGTTCCAGGCCCCTTTTAATTTTTCCAACTTCACTGTCTCCTTATTTTTTTTTAATTTTTTTTTTTTATGGTGACATCGGTTAACAAAATCCTGTAAGTTTCAGCTGAACATTTTAATAACAGTAAGGCATACATATATATATATTTACATTGTGTGTTCACCTCCCATAGTTAGATTTCTTTCTGTCACCACATATTTGACCCCTTTTACCCCATCTACCTCCCACCTCCCCACTGGTAACCACTAGTCTATTGTCCATGTCCATGAGTCTCTGTCCTGTTCGTTTGTTGCTTTTAGGTTTATATCCCACATATAAATGATATCATGTGATTTTCACCTTTTTCTGTCTGGCTTATTTCGCTTAGCATGATTATCTCGAGGTCCATCCATGTTCTCCTTAATTATATCTAGTCCCATGGCTTTAAACACCATTTATGTCCTGATGACTTCCAAATTTCTATCTCCAGCCTTGATCTCTCAATTGACCTCCAGACTCATCTATCCACGTGCTGACTTGATAGTCTCAATTTAATGTCCAAATCATGGCTCTTTAATTGTATTAACCAATGTTACCCCAATAAACTTAATTTTAAAAAAATCATGGCTGTCAATTTCCACCTCCAGGAAACTAGTTTCTTCCTAGTATGTCCCACCTCAGGATATCGCATCGCAATTTACCTAGGTACGCAAGCCAAAATCTTAGGACTCACCCTTCATCTTTCCTTAAAACCCAGATACTCTATTACAGATACTGTCAACACTCTGTCTAAAATATACCTAAATTCTTCCACTTTGCTTCATCTTCACTACTGCCACCTAGTCCCAGCCACCATCACTTGCTACTATAATAGGCTTCTATCTTGCTTCCTGCTTCCCAACTACCCTTCCATAGTCCATCCAGTTTTAAAAATGTAAATCAGAGGAGAAAAAAATGGCGTAGATGATAGAGGCTCTGTTCATCCCTCAGCGACCAAATCAAAGTTGTGACGGAAACAAAGAGCAGCAGCAAGGAAAAATTGCCTGGGATCTAGATGAACAAGCCATTCATCTAGGGAGAAATCCAAGAAATCACCCTGCAATGGCAGAAGGTAGGTCGGGGCTAGGATGCGGGGCTGCCCGTCCTGAGCGGTTAAGTGAGGCAGAGGCTGCGGCAGTAGCAGAAGTCTCTTAAAGGGGCCACGTCTGCGAGTGGATTTTTGCGGTGACGGACCTGCTCGCTCTGAGCACCAGTACTGATTCAGCTGCGCACAGGGGGCACCAGGGATTTACAGGGAGACGTTGTCGGAGTGAGGGCCGAGGTAAGACTCACTCTGTACAGAAGTGCCGGCGGTATCCATTGTTCCATGTTGAGCCCTCCCTACTCACAGTGCGCCAGACACAGCACCGCCATAGCCATGACATCATCAAACTGAATAACAGAAGTCGCTCTGCCCAGAGGGTTCCCTGAAACCCTGCCTATTCCACCTCGGGCCTCACTCAAGCCACATCCAGGTGTATCCTCAGCAACTCAGATGCCACTTGCTGAGACTCACACTAGTGAAGGCAGCTGGCCTCGGTTTCTGGTGTAGCCTTTTGAGGCAACTATAAGCACAGCATCTGTGGATTGCTTGCTGAATCTTAACAGGTGGCCCCGGAGGGGCAGAAGCTTGGGCTAAATTTGGCCTGCAGCTGAACCCCTCTCAGGACTGTGCCACTGGACACCTACTTCACAAATCCACACTAATAAGACCGGGAGACTTAGATCAGTGAACTTTTGGGAAGTGTAGATAAATTCAGTGAACTTCAACAAAGAGATAAAACATAAAAATGGAAATTATAAAAGGGAACCAGTCTGAAATGGAGAACACATTATCTGAGATGAGAAGTATATTAAATGGAATAAACAAAGTGAATAAAGAAGTAGATCAAATGCCCTATCTAGAGAACAGGAAAGCCAATCAGGACAATTAGAATGGCAAGAAAAAAGATGCCAAGATTATAAAAATAAGGAGGATATGGGACACTATTAAGGCTCCAAATATTTGTCTGATCGGTGTAACAGAATAAAATCAAGATGTTGAACAGCTGTTTGAAGAAATACTGATGGAAACTTCCCTAACTTGGTGAAGGAAATGGAGATAAAACCCCAGGAAGCTCAGAGAATTCCAAAAATCAGAGATCCAAAGAGCCCTACACCAAGATACATCATAATTAAAATGCCAAAGGTTAAATACAAAGAAAGAATATTAAAAGCAGCAAGAGAAAATGAAATAATTACTTATAAGGGAACACCCAAAAGACTGGCAGCTGATTTCTCAAAAGAAATTATGCAGGACAGAAGGCCTTGGCACAAAATATTCAACAGGATGAAAACCCAGGATCTACAATCAAGAATAATTTATCCAGCAAAGCTCTCATTTAGAGCTGAAAGACAGATAAAGAGCTTCCCAGACAAAAATAAGCTAAAGGAATTTATCACCACCAAGCCAGTATTACAGGAAATGTTGGAGGGACTTCTTTAAGAAGAAAAAACATGTATCAAAAACAGGAATAAAGAATGGTAACAACTACATTCCTATCAATAAGTACCCGAAATGGAAAAGAAGTAAGTGCTCCAACCAAAAGATAGAGTGGCTGAAAGGATAAGAAAACAAGATCCTTGCATATGAAAAACAAGGGGATGGAAAAAGACATTGCTTTGATGGACCTAGAAGGTATTTAAATCACACAAAGATAAACATTATATGATTTCACTTATATGCGGAATTTAAGGAAAAGAATTAATCAAAAACAGACTCACAAATATAGTAGACAATCTGGCAACGGACAGAGGGAAGGGAGGTTTGGGGAGCTAGGAGAATGGGGTGAAGGGTTAAAGCACAAATTAGTAGTTGATAGTTGGTCACGCGGATGGGCAGCAAGGCAGAGGGAATGCAGTTAGTATTAATACATCGGCTAGGGGGAGGGTCAGAGAAGGGAGGGAGCAATTCGGGGGATCATTTTACTAACTATATAGATGTCTAACCAATGTACTCTATACTTAAAACTAATTAAAATTTAAAAATAAATAAATAAAAGAGAGGCTAGGAAAAAATATGTACATCAGATCACATCATTCCCATGATTAAAATTCTTTGATGGCTTTCCATTGCCCTTGGAATAATACCCAAATTCTTCCCTTTATCCAACTAAGCCTTGCATGATCTGGCTCCTGACTTGCTTTCCAAACTCATATCACTCTTGCTCTGTGCCAGCCACAGCAACCTCTTTGTTCTGAACCAGTTCCCACCTCCAGATCTCGGCAGTGTGCCTCTACTAGTCTTTCCCCAGCTCTCCACGGCTGGTTCATTTTTATTCCTCAGCTCTCAGCTCAAAAGACACAACCAGAGTGGTTCTCCTTAGCTACTTTAAGTTGGCCTCTCTTATTTTGACATGTTTACTTCCTTCAATGCACCTCTCACTGTGTAAATATGGGGTTCACATCTTTATTCCCTCTTCTCCCTCACCCTCTCCACTTCTTCTCTCCCTCTCTCAATACAATGCAAGCTTCCTGATAGCACGACTGTCTCTTGTTCACTGCTCTTCCCTGTTATTTGGTACAGCACCTAGTACTCCTTGAATACCTCAGAATGAATGGAAAAAGTATAGAAGAGTCAGGACACTAAAAATAGCGTTTAATAAATCTGTGCTGAATGAACACAACCAGTTAGTTAGGTTTTATCTGCTTAAGACAATCTTTCAAGGACAGCTCAGCTGCACCACCCACTCTGGAAACTCACTGACCATGCCGGACAGAGACAGGCATCCCCATCCCAGCTTTCACAGCACCCTGTGCACAGGCGCATTTTCTCCAGAATATATAATTTTGTAACGCTCAGTGTTCCCCACTAGACTGTGAGTTCCAAGAAGAGACTGATTTTATTTCCTATTCCAGTGATGGCAAGAGATGCTAAACAAATATTTGAACAAAGTCTGACGCTTACTAGCAACTCTGAAAAACAACATTTCGGCCAGAGTAAATACATTATGAGGCCAGTAAAATGGGATAGTGAGCTAGAGTGAGGGCCTATTTTACAAAGGATGGTCAAAAAAGGGCTCTCTGGAGATGTCACTGGAGCTGAGAAATGAATATAAAAGAGCCTTGGGAAG